GACGGTGGCCCGTTTCCCAGAGCCCCTGACAGCCCTGGGTCGCTGCTCACTGGCCCTGGGTGGGGGGCCACGCTGAGCCCCTGCCACGCACCCTCCTGGCCTCCCTGAACCCGCATCGGGCTCTATCTCTTCTCACGGGAAACCGCTGGGCCCGCCCCCCCAGCAGTCTCGTTGGATTGTGGGCTTCTAATGGACGTGTCGGAACGGAACCCAAGCCCTGGGCCTTGGAGCAAAGAGAAAGCCGCCTTTGTTGGCTGCCCCGCAAGCTGGAAAGCCATCACACGGCTATCCCTTGCGCTGCGGCCCCAGCGCCCGCCCTGCCAGCACATCCTAATCCTGGCTTCAGAGCTCAAGACCCACATTGAGGCTTTGTGAGGAGAATAAAGGGTGCTTTCTGATCCTTACAGGAGGGGGGCTGTGGCGGGAGCAGCCCTCTCTCCCTCCCTGCTCCCTTGTCCTGAGCCGCTTGGGGAAGGCGGCCGGTACCTGTGGAGGCCAGGCGCTGTACCCACGCCTGCAGGGAGGCCGGCACCCTTTGCTTCGGCTTTCTGGAGCTTCCACGGAAACCCAGACTCCAGGAGGCTTCACGCGACACCCGTAGTGTCACTTCTGTACCGTAGTGTCTGACTCACTTTCAGCTGGTCCATGGTGCTCACTGCAGGCAGCGCCCCCGTGCTCCTGCCCACCCCCTGCTGGTCACGTTGTGCTTTACAGCAGAGCTGCAGTGGACGTGCCCACGTCTCGGGCCCTGAGTGCGCGGGCCAGGGCTCTACCCACGGGGGCTATTAGGTTTGCCAGGGAGGCCTTTAGAAGCCCCTGTCCAGGCGGTGCCCCAGGCCAATGGAATCAGGTGGGTGGGGGGCAGGTGTCAGTGCAGCTCAGGGCTGGGTGTCCTGTTCTGGAGCAGCCGCTGCTGGGAGGGGTGCACCGTTGGCGTCCCCCGCAGGCACGCTTGTCCTGTGCCCTGTAACTCACTTGCCCGGGGACGGCCGGCCCTGCATGGCACCCGACCTGGGCTTTCCATTGGCATCTCGTCTTCACGTGTGCTCGCTGGTCAGTGCCTCGTCTGCATCCCAGTCACTTCTTCACGTGACTCTGGGACATGGGCGGTATCAGCCGCGTCTTAGGGAAGCGAAGGCTGAGGTTGGAGCAGTTAAGGAACTCGGAAGGATCACACAGCTGGTGAGCGGCAGAGCTGAGCTTTCTCGGTCCCCTCCCCACCTTGGACTGAGGGCGTGGGACCAGCGAGGGGGACCAGATGCCGCGCCTCCTGCTGGGAGTGAGGGGCGTGCCGGGCAGCACAGCTGCTGTGTGGTGAACACAGGCCACAGGCCTTGGGCGCGGGTCGCCCTTCCCGTTTTGTGGAGGAGAATGCCGGGGCCCTGAGCTGCGCCGCTGGCCCGACGGTGCCAGTGCTGGGCCGGAGCCTGACGCGGCTTTGCAGCCTAGGCGGCGCCGGGGAGGCGCAGAAGGCGGGCGGGGGAGGCGCGCGGCCAGCCCGCACCCCGCTCCTGCCCGCCTGGCACTGCTCACTCCCTCCCGCCCACACCGGGAAGGGGAGGCGGTGACTGCCACCTTGGACGAGGAGCGCCCGTCGGCAGAATTTGTAGATCTTTTATTTTGTATTCACGTATCCACATATTTGTTTATTTAAAGGTCTCTGCTGACTCCGGGGACTAGGTGCTGCGTGTATCGGTGTGGTCTGTAGGGAGAGTGCCGGCTTTGGGAGGAGGACGGGGTGTGTGCGGACGCATCACCCTGTAACCGAGTGGAGTGTGCCCACCCTGCGGGGCCGCGAGCAATGGAAAGGGTGGCATCCGGTGTGTCCCCTTTCCGAGGCGCAGTCACACATGTGGCTTTCCAGCACCTTGCGCCCGCCTGTACTGGCGTTTGTCCAAATGCCCCAAGGTTCTTGTTTGTGCCATTTGCTGCTTTTGGTGCCCAGATGAGTAGGTGTGGGCAGTGTCCATCCGCTCCACTGCACCGCAGGCCAGGCCTGCGGTGGCCATCATGGGCCCCAAAGTGCAGGAAAGAATGTGGACACTAGACTGTGTTCTGTTCCTGCTG